AGGACTGAAGAGAGAGAGAGAGAGAGAGAGTTTGAGTAGCCATTGATTCCGTTCATTCCAGTCTCCCTCACGCAGATCCCTTGAGCTTATCGCCTTCTTGACACCCTCCATCCAGTTTGCCCTTCGTCTTCCCCGTTTCCTTCTCTTTTGTGGAAGCCAGTTTAGTATCTTCTGAGGCAGTCGCGTGTTGTCCATCCTTCCCACATGTCCATACTACTTCACTTGGGCACTCTCTATTTTCTCTACTATAGTTGTTTGTCTACCCATTTTATCCCTGATTGTTTTATTTCGTTCTGATCTCCTTATCGCGTCCATTTCTACCGCCTCAAAATATTTTAATAATGACTGGAATCCAATTGTGAAAAAATAAAAATGTTGCATTTTAGATTAAAACTAAGAAATAAATTCTGTGAGATATTATACCGTATGATCGAATAAAAATGGCGTCAGCGATGGCTATGAAATGAACATCGATGACATTTCCCATATCAATTTACATATGTATAACATGACAACGATCTTCATTTCATAGCCATCGCTGACGCCGTTTTTATTCGATCATACGGTACTTTTTAGTATAAAAAAACTTTCTTCATGTTCTTCATATTCGCACTACTTTCAAATTTTCAAATAGCATTAAAGAATATATGAACACTTACGATAATATAGGTACTTAGTATCTAACGCCAGTTTCCTAATCCCACACTATTAAAAAAAGGGAATTATTTAATTAAGATGTTGGAAAATCTCTTGGAAAACGAGCCCCATTAAATTTCCACGTAATTCTTTTGGAGCTAAAGGGTTCATTAACATGAAAAGTGCCGAGCAAACTATCCTTAATACCCTTAACGCCGTGAAATTAACTTTTCTGATCGGGGAAGATCAAGGCTTTAAGTAGGGCAAGAAGGAAAGTGCGCAGAAAGATAAACGACAATTTTGTCTGACAAGGTTATGTTACAATTTTATTAAATAATTTATTTTAATGAGTTAATAATCAATATTTTTTAATTCTCTTTCGCTCAAATCGAAATAAGTAAATTACCAACAGATATTCAGGCTGAGGCGACAAACGCCATATCCAAACTACTTCCATTTAAATCCCGAATAACTTATGAAAAGAAATACAAAAATTTTCAAAAATGGAAGTTAAAAAACGTGCGAGAAGAAATAAAGTTTTTAACTTATCCTTGCGGTTAAAGTACTATTTTATCTACTATTTTTGATAGATATAAGGCAATTTTAACAGTTGCTATGGAAAAGAATATTCTTTTTTTGATTAGGTAATATTTTGGTCAGGAAAGTAATCCAGATGTATAAAAATTATTTTGTTCTCAGGACAATATTCATTGCCACCTTTTGAGAACACTTCCATTGATATGCTTGATATATTGTGAGGTTACGCTCTAAATTCAACATGACCCTTGTCATTGAATAATTTCGCCATAAAGTAGATGACGGCATTTTTTGCGATAAATCGGCCAGATTTATTCAACAAAGCGTTCTCGTAGAAAGATTGAACACTTTTCTCTTATCAGTAATCTTTAAATCTTTTAAAAGCTGTTATTCTATAAGTTCCTTCAAGATTTTTCTCGAACGAACGAACTTTTATCTCAGTATATTGATCGCAGTTTTTGGAAATGTAATAAGATTGAAATTTAATAGTTTTAGTTTAGAATAGGGTTTCGATCTTTTTTAACTTTTTGAACTCTAGTATTGAATTGAATCATGATCAAGAACTTAAAAGGAATTTACAGAGAAATATACAGAATGTAACCAGAAAATTATACAAATCGATTCAAAAGTCAGCAATTAAAAATAAATAATTTTAATTTTCAATAAGGGATCTCAAATAAACTGCCCGTCAAATTAAATACCACAGCGATTTTTTTACTCATTTTCAACGAGTTGTAACTTTAAAAAAATGGACCAATTTTGTTGATTTTTTAACATATATATATAACACGAAACACGAAACACTTTAACGTTTTTCGTAGATTGATCTGATTTTTCTAAATTTTGTATGAGATTTAGTTTTCTATGATATACAGGGTATGAAAAAAAGGAATGTATTTTTTTTAATTTTTGTGTTGCTGCCATTTTGCCAAAAAACAAAATTTAACTAGAATTATAAGTTCTGAATATAGCTAAGACTAATATCTCGGGACGTATTTGGAATTTTTGCGATAACTCATCTGGAATAAAAGATAATCAATTTTTACTCTAACTACTATTTTTCTACCTTTCTTAAGAGATATGCTAACAAAACTGAAATTAACTTTAAAATTATAGGATATTCGTTACTTTTACAATGTGAGAGAAACAAGCCCTATAACATAGGATACAACATTTTAATGAACAGTGCTTTCCATAAAATCAATAAAATGAAAAATAAATGTAATAATATACATGTACTGATTTTTTTCGAACAGTGCTTTTCATAAAATCAATAAAATGAAAAATATAGGAAATAATATACAGGTACTGATTTCTTTCGATAATCGACAACTATGAAACTATGAACCCTTTCTGGACACAAACGGTACATTGTCAGACAGGAAATTGTAGAGAGAAACAAGCCCTATAACATAGAATACAACATTTTAATGAACAGTGCTTTCCATAAAATCAATAAAATGAAAAATATATGTTATAATATACATGTAGTGATTTCTTTTGAAAATCGACATCTATGAAACTATGAACCCTTCCTGGACACAAACAGTACATTGTGAGACAAGAAATTGTAGAAAGAAACAAGCCCTATAACATAGGATACAACATTTTAATGAACAGTGCTTTCCATAAAATCAATAAAATGAAAAATAAATGTGATAATATACATGTACTGATTTTTTTCGAAAATCGACATCTATGAAACTATGAACCCTTCCTGGACACAAACGGTACATTGTGAGACAGGAAATTGTAGAGAGAAACAAGCCCTATAACATAGGATACAACATTTTAATGAACAGTGCTTTCCATAAAATCAATAAAATGAAAAATATATGTAATAATATACATGTACTGATTTCTTTCGAAAATCGACATCTATGAAACTATGAACCCTTCATAGACACAAACGGTACATTATCAGACAGGAAATTGTAGAGAGAAACCAGCCCTATAACATAGGATACAACATTTTAATGAACAGTGCTTTCCATAAAATCAATAAAATGAAAAATATATGTAATAATATACATGTACTGATTTCTTTCGAAAATCGACATCTATGAAACTATGAACCCTTCCTGGACACAAACGGTACATTGTGAGACAGAAAATTGTAGAGAGAAACAAGCCCTATAACATAGGATACAACATTTTAATGAACAGTGCTTTCCATAAAATCAATAAAATGAAAAATATAGGAAATAATATACAGGTACTGATTTCTTTCGAAAATCGACAACTATGAAACTATGAACCCTTCCTGGACACAAACGGTACATTGTCAGACAGAAAATTGTAGAGAGAAACAAGCCCTATAACATAGGATACAACATTTTAATGAACAGTGCTTTCCATAAAATCAATAAAATGAAAAATATAGGAAATAATATACAGGTACTGATTTCTTTCGAAAATCGACAACTATGAAACTATGAACCCTTCCTGGACACAAACGGTACATTGTGAGACAGGAAATTGTAGAGAGAAACAAGCCCTCTAACATAGGATACAACATTTTAATGAACAGTGCTGTCCATAAAATCAATAAAATGAAAAATATAGGCAATAATATACAAGTACTGATTTCTTTCGAAAATCGACAATTATTTAAATTAAATAGCGCTGTCGCATTAGGTGTCCCAAAAAACTAATTCAAAACAAAATATACCCAAACTTTTATCGATTACCTACCGCTATCGAACCGGTCCACAAATCCAACTCTTCCACCGGCAACTGTATTAGATTTTTCCTCTTGAAGCGAAGAAAGCGACCAGATTAAACTCGAGAGACGGAATTTATACCGATATAAGTATATCCAATAACTATAAATCTCCCGCCGATTCCCGGATAAGAGCGGGGACTCTTCGGAAGGGACTGCAGCTGATTCAGTGTTTGTAAAGGACCTCCCCAAAGACGGAGGCCGGTAAATCTTCCTTCGGCCGAAAGAAATACAAGCAAGCAGTCGAGTACAAAGTAAATAGCAGACAGAAACTGGATCTAATGTTACGTAGATAGAATTGTAGGTAGAAGAATGTGCTCTTTTTATAGTTCTACATAAGTTTAAACTTGTAATTAAGTGTCCAGCTTTATTATTTTACTATACAGGGTCCGGCAAAAGTGCGTCGGCCATCTGAAGGTCCAAGAAAAAAGAACTTGAGAATTTTGTTTAAGTGCAAACCTAAAGCATGTACGAGGATATATTTCAGGAAAATGTTCTATATGGTGGCTCAAAAAAGTGTGAGTGGATCGGGGTGATTTTTTTAATGAAACACATTATACAGGGTATCCCAGGCTGAACGTGTATTAGAAGTTTCTAGAGAACTACAATATCTAGATCAGGGATTTTTTGCACATTAGTTTTTTACAACGAGATCTATCGATTAAAAATATTTTCAATATGGCGGCATTTCCGGAAATACCGGAAGTTGACAGCAACTTTCTTATTTTAAATGGGTGCCCCCATTTTTTATTACATACTTAAATTATTTGTAAAATTTTATGAATTTTTATATTAAACACTTTATACCTAACATTAATCGTTTCTGAGAAAATAAATATTTAAAATTTTTGGACGAAAGAAACTGTTGACAGGCAGCTTTTAAGGCAGCAGTATTTATAATATAGGAAATTCAAATAATTCATTCTCTGACAGGTGGAAATAAATTGTCTGGCTGTTTGACACTTAATGTCAAAGGAAGCTAGATAAAATCAAGAAAAATATACGTTTTCAAAATAGGACCACAGAACAAAAAGAAATAACCATTTTGCCAACAATCTCTCTATTGAAAATAATAAAATTAATCATATTATTTCTTTTGTTTCAGTTTTGATGTTCGAGGCAAACCCATGTCCTTGGCGCGCCACTGGTCAGCACCGGAAGTGTTCGGCACTAGAGCCTACTTCCGGACTGTCTCCGAGCCTGCGCAATTGGTTATCGAAGACATTAAACGACATGACGAGGGAATCTACAGATGCAGGGTAGACTTCAGGAATGCACAAACTCGCAGTGTTAGATACAACCTAACAGTGATTGGTACGTATATAACATTTTATATTTTATAATGGTGATAGATAATTCTTAAAATAACTTATTAAACATATGAAAACTAAACTTTCTACAAAATAATTTACTAATATAGTGATATACCGTATGATCGAATAAAAACGGCGTCAGCGATGGCTATGAAATGAAGATCGCTGTCATTTTATATGTAAAATTATATGGAATATGTCATCGATCGTCATTTCCAAGCCAACTGGACGCCATTTTTCTTCGATCATAGGGTATTTAATTTTGATCTATTCGAAATATCTTAAAATCAAGGCTAATTTTTTTCTTCTTTACGTGCCGACTCTTTCGTGGAGGTTGGCGATCACATTGGCAAAATTTTCACGATTCGCGGCTTTCCTTATGAGTTTTTCAAAAGTTAGATGAGTCCAATTTCTGATGTTTCTCAACCAAGATAGTTTCTTCCTGTCGAGACCTCTTTTTCCTTCAATTTTACCCTTAACTATTAGTTGTAAAACGTGGCATTTATCATTTCTCAATGCCCTAAATATAATGTTTTTCTTATTTCTAATATAATGAGCCATTCTCTTTCTCTGCCTATTCTGTTGTAAACTTCGATATTTGTGATATGTGCTGTCCATGGAATTTTGAGCATTCTTCGATATATCCATGTTTCGAACGATTCTATGCGATTCGTCTCTTGAACTTTCAGTGCCCACGTTTCTGCTCCGTATAATAGGATTGACCAAACATAACACCTGACGAGTCTAGTTCTCAACTCAAGGTCCAATCTGGGGTTCTGGAAAACGTTCTTCATTTTTAGAAATATATTTCTGGCTTGTTCTATTCTGGTTTTTATTTCCACGTCGTTATTCAAGGTGTTAACTATCCAGGACCCCAAATATTTGAACTTGTAGACCTGTTCTAAGGTATTGCCCTCTATCTTAATGGGAACTGGTACATTTTGGCTTTTTCCAAATACTATGACTTTGGTTTGAGAGGAATTGATCTTTATCTCGTATTTCTTACAGGAGCCTTTAAGTCGCTCCACTAAACTCTAAACTCTGAAAATTTGATCGTATTTTCAAACTTCAAAAGAGAGCAGTTCGATATTTATTGGGACTGAACAGTAGAACTCACTGCCAGAATTTCTTCAAAAAATTCAAAATACTGACTCTTCCTTCTTTATTCATTTTTTAATCCGTTTGCTTAATCCGCAAGCACATATCTGCTATTCCCGAAAGGCCATCTCACAACTATCCACTTAGGAATGTGGAGCACGATTTTTATCTGCCAACCCCGAGCTTAGAACTAGTTAAAGGCTCAATACTGTACAATGCCAAAAAATGTACAATCATCTGCCTTTGAATATCAAGTCGCTTTCATTCTTTCCCGCATTTCGCAAAGCTTGTTTTTGTTAATGTTTAATCATGATCAATTCTAAAATTTTGATCATCTCACACACTAGTTAATAGTCTAGTATTTAATATTTTATAACTGTTAAATGATTATATCCATTTACAATTTTCCAGTTGTAAAATTTTATTGATACGCCTTTTTTGTGTTCTGCAATGTCGAGGTATGTTTCTATTTGTAATTTTAGTGACGTAATTTTTTTTTAACTGTATGATATTTTTTTTATTATTTGCATATTTTTTGTGCTTTTGTTTGTTTTCTAAATGCTTTGTCGATGAATCTATTTTGGCTTTTTGTACAATAAAGCGTTATCTATTTATTATTATCTGGAGTCCAATATCAGAGTCGGCAACAAGAACTGTATCATCGGCAAATCTAATATTGTTAATGACTTCGCCGTTGACTTTAACATCGCAATCTGTTGAAGAGAAAGCTTCTTGAAAAATCGCCTCAGAATATACATTAAACAACGAAGGAAACAACACACATACGATACACATTATACGAGTAGATAAAGAGAATCACATCCTTCCACCCTCTTACAAACAACAACAATAGACCGAGCAGTTTCCGGAACCCCAAAACTTAAGTAACGATTATCCTAGGCTATAATTCATTCGACCCCTCGCTCACCTTTTCCGCCCCGTCAGATTTAGCGGAGAGATGATGGCCATCAGGTAACACTGAGTGACACCCAACTTCCCTTGATTTATCGAGTCGTTCAGAATAAACTTGTAAACGAAAACGCTTCGCTCTGTTATTAATTAAACTGAATAATCCTTGGGAGATTGAGGACGGGGAAATAAATAATTGAGGCCGCATTCGGTCACATTAAATCAAGTCGGCCACGTGGGCTGCACCCCATCTGGCCATGAACGGACGCTAATGAATCGCATCTGTCAATCGGTTTTGAAACGGCCGACAGGCTCCAATACCGGCTTGAAATCTAAAGCCTCCGTTTTTCGGGGTAACGTCATCACTAATGCCTACCAGTGGTACACAGATTATTTGTTTTATTGTTAAAAAAAACATCTTCTTCAATATATGGATGAAAATTGGTGTCTTGAAGTTTTTCGACATGAGAAATTTAATTTTGATTTCAGTATGACTCCTACGTTTAGAGGGCGCCACCTACATATTTTTAACTGGTTTGAAGTGTAATAACTGTATTAACTGTCCGTACCAGTGTAAAACTACAGAGTAAAAAAATATTCATTTAAGACGTTTTTTACGTAAAAAATGTCACTGTTAAAAATCGCTACGAGTTATCGAGATATTTGGAGTCGAAATTATCAGTACTTGTCATCATTGACATAAATTAAAGATGTTGACTAAATAGTTATTAGACTGAAATCATAAATTTTAATTTTTTTTGTGCCAAAAGTTCAACAGAAACTATTTTATCATAATTTTTTTTAAGAAAAATTTATGATTAATTAAAAAAAATAATAGTTCCCAAATTTATCATTTCAGTCAAATATCTATCTACTCAACTTGTTCATTTTTTGTCAATATTTCCATTGTAAATGTCTTGAGAAGGTTGCTCATAGCGATTTTTACTCGGTTTGCTCGTAGCGAGAGACATTTTTGACGAAAAAATCACAGAAATGTATATTTTTTGACTCAGTAGTTTTATACAGGTACGGACGAAAAGTTATTACTCTTCAAAGTATAGAAATTCGAGGTCAGAACGTCCTACGACGTTATCCGATGCCTAACTTCCACCCTGTGCGATTTTCCCATTGATCTTCGGTCAGATTTTTCTCGCTCATCAACCTTCTTATTTCTTCTATCCATGTTATCTTGGGACGTCCTCTCTTTCGTTTACCAGGTGGTATCCAATGAATTACTTGTTGTGGAATTATTTCAATGTGCATTCTCTGAACGTGGCCATACCATATTAATTGTTTTTGTTCTATATCATTTACCTATTGTTCCCTCTATACACATCCGTCGTCTAATGTCTTCATTTCTGATTTTATCCTTCCGTGAAATTCTCATTGCTCTTCTCATCGCGTCCATTTCTGTTGTCTCTAATTTCCTTTTATTTTTTCACATCCATAAAGTAATACGCTTTTAACTAGTGTCTCGTATATACACACACCGGAAAAGTCTAGGGATATTACAACTTTATCCAGCCATCGTCAGTAATTTTATTATTTGCATTTCTGATATAATAAAATTATAATAAACAAATAGTTTATAGGACGTATTGGAAATAAAAATGCGAAATTTACCGAATTTTTCAAATTTACCTGGATTTTTATTGAACTCAAAAAAATACACACATTTTTTTTTTATTCTAAACTGTGAATTAAAAAAAAAGATAAAACCATTTTTACTTAATAAAGGGCCTCCTCTACTCTTCATTACAGCCCTACATCGTCTCTCCATGCTCCTGATCAGGTTGTCTATCTCTTCTTGAGGTACAGCCTGCCACGCTGCATTCACGCCCGAACCAGATCCCTACGAGTTTCACGAGGCGTACCCATTCTCAAAATTCTTCTTTGGACCGCGTCCCATACGTGCTCGATGGGGTTGAGGTCAGGAGATTGTGCCGGCCAGATTAAGATGTTTAATTGATGAACATTGATAAACTCACTTGCCACTCTGGCTATATGAGGCCTTGCATTGTTATGTATGAGAATGAAGTTTCTCCCAAAATCATTGACATATGGTAACACGACAGGCTCAAGAATTAAATCACGATATGTGATTCCTGTTAGAAACCTTTCAAGAAAAACTAGACGGTTTTTCGGCCTAACTGGACTCCTCCCAAGACCATAACTATTCCACCTTGATAAGGGTGCACTTCCTGAACATGATCCAACCGAATAAGATTTCCCGATCCTCTCCATACCCTAAGCCTTCTCGAATTCGGATGAATTCCAAAGCGTGACTCATCCGTGAAGAGAACATTGGCCCATTGTTCATTCGACCACTGAACATGATCTTGAGCCCACAAATATCGTACCTCTCGATTTCCTCTCGTTAAGGGTTGAGCTCTCCAGGGGCGTCTGCTTCTTAAGTTGACCTCTTTTAATCTATTGCGAATAGTGTCAGGACTAACGGTAATATTATGTGTTTCCTGGAGAATTAAACTAAGCTCTGGTGCTGTAAGAGTCGGTCGGCGTCGAGCATTTAATTGTAAAAAATGATCTTGCTGAGGGGTAGATATGCGATGTCGCCCTGTGTGCCTTTCAGCAACATCATCCCTTTCACGGTAGCGTGCACTTAATCGCGATATTACACTTTGCGTTGTATTTAATGCTCTAGCTACGTCGATTTGGCGCATTCCAGCTTCGAGCATACCCATGGCCCTTAGCATTTCGTCTCTGTTAAGATGTCTACGCTCCATAATGTCATTTAATACTAAACAGAGTTATTTGAATGAATTCTGGCCAGTTATCATAAAAACATAGCCAGTACAGGTTAAATTCGAACAATTGATGCTAGGTGCTTTTTATACATTTGACAAAAAATGCACAAACGCACTTCTGCAAATATCCCAAATTTAGAAATAACTAGTGTGACTACTTCGTTTCAATCGAAGTAGAAAGAATCGGCCTACAAATATGTGGTTGTTTATTCAAAACGTTTATTTTTAACTTTAATAAAATTATATCCCTAAATTTTTCCGGTGTGTGTATGTATTGTATTTCCTGTTCTTTGTAATTTCACTTATTACTCTTCAAACCGGTGAAAAAATATGTAGGTGGCGCCTTCTATAAGTAGGAGTCATATCAAAATCAAATTTCTCATGTAAAAAAACTCCCCGACACCAATTTTCATCCAAATATTGACGCTACTTCCAAAATTATTTGAAAAAAATCTAAATAAAAATGAAACTTCTACACCCTGTATCTCCGAAACTAAGCATTTTAGAACACACATTTATACGAACTTTTTTACTTATTTTTATCTGCAAAATATGCCTTCAAAATTTCCGGAATACAGTTCGAACAATCCTGTATATATAGGGGCTCTTTATTTTTGCCTATCCGACTGAACACCTCGTCATTTGTTACTCTATCCATCAATACAAGCAGCATACGACTACAAAAGTACATCTCAAAAGTATTAATGCGGTTTTCCAATGTCTGATTGAGTGTCCAGGGCTCTCAGAGCCGAGCTGTAGAGAAGTACTTAAAAAATGTAGCACGGGGGCAGCACATGTAAACACAATTCGAGGCAGTTCTCGGCTAGACAAGAGGGTTTTCATGGAAGATCCCTTCATGGCCTGTTCGATCTTGGCCAAAATCTTACTTTTGGGGTCACAAGCATCGTTAACTAGGGCTTCTAGATATTTTAAAAAACTCCCGCTTAAAAATGTATATATAAAGCATTAGGTACAATTGAACTGAATTAGTCTCATAGTGTTTGCAGCATCGTTTAGTGAAATATTTTGTTTCAGTGCCTCCTGAACAGCCAATCATCATCGACAAATGGACGCACATATTAAACGGCTCACTAGGACCCCACGAGGTTGGTGATGACATCCATTTAAAATGCAGAACAGTTGGTGGTCATCCACAACCAACCGTAAGATGGTTAGTCAATGGCGTGGTGGTGGACGACGAATATGAGAAGAACGCCGGTGACGTCATCGAAAACAAACTCACCTGGCCGTCGGTTTCCAGAAAGGATCTGGACGCCATCTTTACTTGTCAGGCTGAGAATACCAAGCTGACAGAACCCAGAGAAGCTACTGTTCTTCTTGACTTAATACGTAAGTATTATTCTTTAAATAATTGAAGAATCCTCGAATAAATTCATGTTGCTCAATGATATTTTTTCTGTATTCTTATCAAAAATTAATTCTTGTTTAGTAAAAATCATATTCAAAAATTCAAACTCATATTTCATTCATCTGAAAGTTTATTTTTGTTAGATATTACTACATATTTTTATTTCCAAAAAAATCCTGTATGGGTATTTCGCCACTGCACTGCAAGAAAATCTACAAAATAAAATAATTATTTTTTGTAAACACTTCTGCGTTAAATCTAAACGGACGCTGCTTGTCAGAAGTTATGTTTACGGTAATACAAATTTGCCTAACAAAGCAAAAAAAAATGCTTAATGTTTCGGAAAGTTATCTCTTTCCATCGTCGGAAGCAAAAAAATACAAAGAATAAAGAAAAAAACTATTTAAAATATTTAAATTCAACTATTCGAGAACACTTTACTTACTTTTTTAAAACAGATACGTCTATAAGAAACCGTTGACGTTCAAAATTAACAAATACTACCTGATAACAATTACTTAATAAGGTAAAACCAAAAAGCCCCAAACTTTCTGTATGATTATTTTTAAATTTTACGTATGTTATGTTTATTTATCTTGTTGTATCTGTTGTTCTTTAAAATCAAAGAAGCGATTGCCATACATTACTAACATCTACAGATGCATGAGCAATACATTTATTTTTATTAGATTAAATTAAAAAAGCCTCTTTTATTTTGCTTTTAGAGGCTATCACTTCTTTCATTATAATTTTGGCGTTATTAAAATTTATTCTGTGCCCTGTGTCCCAAGAATGCTGACAAATCTTAGATATGTGAAAATCTCCCTTTCTTAAATAATCTTTATGTTCTTTAATTCTAACATTTAAGGGTCTAGATGTTTCACCAATGTAAAATTGATCGCATTCACAGGGTATTTGGTATATTACATTTTTTGTTTGTTATTCTGTATTGATTGGTTTAGTATGTGATAAAATGGATCTAAGTGTATTTTGTGTTTTGGAAGATGTTCGTATGTTATATTGTTTTCTTATCCTTCTTATTTTTTTCCGAAACGCCTCGTATGTATGGAATTGTAAGTTGTATATATTGTGTATTGTTATCATTGTGTCTATGATTTGGAGTTTGTATTTCGTTTAATGTTTTGTCAATAAAATATGGTGGATAGTCGTTTTTGATTAATGTATTTTTTATGTGGTTTATATCTCTATTTAGTGAAATGTCGTCTGTACATATTATTTTTGCCCTATCATATAAACTTTTTATAACACATTTTTTTTAAACTTATACTGTGATTAGATGTGAAATTTAAGTATCTATCTGTGTTTGTGGGTTTTTTGTAAACATCTAAAATTCGTTTATTTTGAAACTTCGACACTAAAACATCAAGAAATGGTAAACGATTACCTCTCTCTACTTCTAAAGTAAATTTTATGGTAGGTTCGCGAGAATTTATATAATCCAAAAAAATATCTATTTCAGAAACGTTATGTTGCCATATTGCAAAAATATCATCAACATAACGCAGCCATATTACAGGCTTTTTTGAAAAACTATTTATTGTATTATTTTCAAAATCTTCCATAATCCCATTTTTATAATTACATCACATATTTTTAATTTCAGTAAAACCATTAACGGTGAATATACTGAAAACAGAGAGTCCTTTAGTTGCTGACAAAAGATACGAGGTATCATGTGAATCTGCAGGATCGAGACCACCCGCTATAATAACGTGGTACAAAGGAAAAAGACAGCTGCGTAGAACAAAGGTATGTAAAAAAGTGTTTTAAGTACATTTATTTCCTGGTCCTAAACCTGCGAACGCCATTGCATTTTTCTTATATTTGAAGGAACAACCATAAAACGAGGATTCATTTTAGGACTTGCCAAACAATTTCAAAGGTATCTGTCGAACATTAACAGCAGTAATAAAAACAAATATACGAGTAATAATATGACAAAATACTTCCTCTAACTTCCTCAGTCTTATCTCGGAGTTATGGCTCAATAAAAGCGGCTCTATCATTAAACAACAAAGTTGTAATGCGAGTTAAATTTAATAAAAACTGTTTTATATCAGAAACTTTTTCCGGAAGGTTTATATCTGTCGCTTTAGTGTTGTGGCTTTTAGTGTAAATCAAAAAATAAACTTGGCAATAATTAAAACTATACATCTTTACATTTTTGTAATGGATCATTTTTAATAAAACTACATTTTCGATTGTTAAAACTTTTCTGTATTACTATAATTAAGAGTCCATTTTACTAATCCGAAAAAGTAGCAAAATAAGCGTTCGGCATTTAACGTTTTATGTAAAACTGGCTAGGTATTTTTACACAAATGAAGAAGGAAATTAAAGATAAAGGATTATACTATCTCCGTATGGTAGCGTTCTCGCAATAGTAGTATAAGTATAAATACTTATACTACTATTTCGAGAACATTTATATATATATATATATATATATATATATATATATATATATATATATATATATATATAAAAAGTAGGTTTCTCGAAAATAAAGACGTAATTTAAAATTCCGTACAATACGAAAATAGATTGAAGTTTTCTGATTACAGTGATACATAAAAACCATCACTCTGGGCGATGTGCAACAAGAGTACCTCTTTTGTAGGAAAGGGTATGTAGTTTTCAAAAAATGAACCCACGTTGCAAAAAAAAATAACCTCAAAAAAGTTATTCACGAAACAACCCCTTACCCTTGCAAAAACTACCCTTTCCGGTTTTCCAAATATTTTTTCAGTGTCACCATTTGATTTAGGGTCAAAATTTATGGCAGAGGATTTTTTTTCAAAATTTTATCTCATTTTTTAAGCCTACAATTTAAAAAAAAAACGTTTTTTAAATTCACCCTTTCAGTGCCCCTAACACCCTTAATATGCATTTTCCGCCCTATTCTTATAGGAACATTTTTTACTATTTTTAGGAGTATTATCACCCCTGATTTTTTTACACTATTTTAATGACACCCTGTATAATTTATATTGTTTTGTAATAAATTGCTCGCTATTTTATGGCAAATGCTGAAGCTCTGCAAACCTTAATCAAGCCTTAATTAAAGCACGTGTGCTTGGAATTTTAGGTGTGACTTAACACGACAGGACCGGGCGAAGCCTTAGGCAGAATTTTGAAATATAATATATATTTCCTTTGGCCACACACCCGTTTTACCCGACCCCTGAGAGCGACCCGAAAGTAAAGCGCAATAGACTCGTAACAAAAAATTTTACTTTTCGTAATTTATGGTAAAAAAAGTATTGGTTTAGGGTGAAATTTGACTATGGCCAAAGACACTTTTCCCGATGTTTTGACCCCAGGAATCCAAAAAACAGGGTTTTAGCCCATCCGTCCAACCTCAAAAAACTTCATTCGCCAATAATTTTGACTATCACAGATATAAGAAAGTTGTGTTAATAAATGTCAAATATTTATGAAATTTAATTCTCTACAAAATTGATCTTTTGACTTTATTTTCTGTCTCTCTTAGTTTTTGAGTTATAGCATTAAAAAAAGCTGGCCAAGGTGACTTGTCCTAAATCTCTTAAAAGATTTAAGACTTTTTTAATGACTTAAACCAGGGTTGGCATGATTTAAATCAAATGATTTAAATTATGATTTAAATCAAGTGATTTTTTTAATTTTAATCATTGATTTAAATAAAAAAAAATAATTTTATTAAAACTTTATTATAAATCAAAAAATAACTGTAAAAGTTATAAAAATGTGTCCTAGAAAACTATAAAAAATATGTCTATAAAAGATATAACAGATAATAAATCGAAAAGTAATTGCAAATGTTATAAAACTATATAAAAATATCTATTCATCAATTTAAATGTTGGACCGATTTTTGAAGTAATTTCGTGGGAATCCATTAAACCGCTAAACGCAGGGATTTATTTTAAAATTTATGTATAAGTGACAAAAATTCGCTGTTCAGTGCATCAATATCATTCGCAGTCTAGTGCAGAACTAGGTTCTTCTGATATAGAGTATAGTCTCTTTTCATTCCCGAGAATCTATAATAATCGTTGTCAGGAAATATGTTGTTTTATATTTTTTTTTGAAATGGTTGTATTTTTCCAAATTCTTACCGACATTTTGATCTGCAGTAAGTATTTTACACTTTGACATTAGATAATACTAATTTCATTCGCGACTTAAGAGTATTTCCGAACAATAGTATATTGTTTTATTTAGAGTAAAAATTATACTTTTTTGATGATGCTGTACCTTTGAAGGACCATCGTAAAGCTATTCCGACGTTACAAGGAAGCACAAAAAGTACATTTTTGCTTCTAATAGAACATACATACTATTTTTGAAAAACATTAAAAATCATTTTTAATCAATTTCAAACATTGCAAATAATATAAACAGTAATCGAGCAACAATTTGGACTCGTTGAATTTGACACTTAATATCAGTTTAATATTATATTTTTGTACTTTTGTGCTTAGGCGTAACAGTGCTTTACTTTTATACCTAGGCGTTAAAATGACAAAAATTAATACTTTCGAGACGTTTGAAAAAAAATCCTTTTTATCTGAAGCGAGCGACTTTTTTGCGAAATATATTGGTGACCGATGTGGAAAAATGACAAACACACCCTAGAATTATTAATGTTATCGATAACGGGCAGAGTTATAAAGATTTAGACATTTAGGATAGGACCTTAATTGGAAATAAGTTCTAGTCATTTAGAAATCCGATTTAAATATTGTTTTGAATTAAAATCAAAAAAATCTAATTTAAATTAAAAAAACTGATTTAAATCAAGTAAATCTGATTTTTCTGATTTTTTTTTTAAAATCATGATTTTTTCCAACCCTGACTTAAACTGTTCTATTTCAGAATAAAAATTTAAAGCACAAATCGTTTTAATACTTAAATTTTAAGTTTTAAACCAACTTCCGGAATCAAATGAAATCACTAAAATTATTTAAATAAGAAAAAAAGTAAGTTTTCTGTGAACTCAAATCTCTGTTTATGATGCAAAGGTAAAACAAACTATTACTTTATTATTATCTTTTCTGTAATATTCCGTTTTGTATGCGAACTATTACAAATTACTTTGAAACTTGTTTTTGACAACATTAAAAAATACGAAATGTTCGAAACTTTCTTCAATTAGTAGAGTGATGTAGGTCTGCAAATATAATTTTACCTATCTCCTTGTCTGTTCTCGTTGCTATCTTTTAAGGATGGAAACTTTAACAATATCCACTAAAATAGATTAAAATCTATTGACGAGGGTCGACAAGAAACGTTAGTAAATTTCGTAATCCTCTTTCTAAGAAAATACGTGTCTTTTTTGCCCAAGTTTTAAGTCCTTTTAGTTTGGACCAGTTTTTGTCATTTTCAAAAATGTGTAGTAGAAATATAACTGTGTTCCAGAAACTTCTGTAGCATATTCTGCTATAAACGTATGTCCTAAAACGCTTCGTTTCGGAGATACAGTGTATAGAAGTTTCATATTTATTTCGATTTTTTTCAAATAATTTCTGAAGTAACGTCGATATTTGGATGAAAATTGGTGTTTTGAAGTTTTTTGACATGAGAAATTTTATTTTGATGCCAATATGGAATCCTCCTTGTAGGGGGCGGCACTTGAATATTTTTTAACTCGTTTTAGAGTAATAACTTTTACGGGTTACGGGTACGGACGAAAAGTTATTACACTTCAAGACAGTTAAAACACATATAGGTAGCGCCCTCTCTAAATCGGAGTCATTTTGACATGAAAATGAAATTTCTTATGTCAAAAAACTTCCAGACACCAATTTTCATCCAAATATTGACGTTACTCCAAAACTTATTTGGAAGAAATTTCTACACCCGGTATCTCCTAAACTAAGCATTTTAGGACATACATTTATACGAATTTTTTTACTTACTTTTATCTGCAGAATATACTGCCAAAGTTTCTGGACCACCGTGTATATTATTCTGTTAATTAAATTAATTTTGGAAACAGTAACTTTTTCAAAAATAAAAAAAAAAGTTTATTTAAATTTTTTCCATAGCAACTGTTAAAATTGCCTTATATCTATCAAAAATGGTAGATAAAATAGTAATTTAACCGCAAGGGTAGATTAAATACAAAAAAAGCAGTGCATAGTAATTTCACGACATTGTCTGGGTTAAAATTTTTGTCTTTTTCGGTTTCTAACCGCTACATGACTGCTTTAAGAAAGCTATGAGCTTGCTGTATCTACAAAATTTAGATGTTACTATACTACTACGGAAATTTAAACGGTATAGCCTTTGAATAAGAAGACTAAGGAAGGAGCATAATGCTATCCATATATTCATGCATGGTGGGCGGAAAAGCCACCATAAAAGCTCTCTAGGGTGGGGATCCTTGACAGTTCTGTTTGACGATTCATTTGACACATTTGAATTTGATTTGAAATTTTGTGGATTTGTCAGTCTTTACGGAGCTTATTTTATGTTATTTATTATTTATTCTACTACTGATAGTTGTATAAAGGTAGTAAATCTAGTTGGAAATTGTGGCAGAACTTAAATTATCGCGATTTATCGAAAAAAGACTCTAAAATAGTAGGTTGTGTAGCGTGCGGTAGATCTCGGCAAAAATTGAGTGAAATAATGGAACAACTTTTCGCTAGTAAGTGACTATATAATATACATACATGTAGTAAACCGATCATTTATGAAATTCACTTAAATTAACTAAATTATATATTTTTCTTGCATTTTAGCTTTTATTTATTACTTGTCAAAGATTAGACGTCAAAGAATTTAGATACGTTAATTTGACTTTACCTGCTTCAGTAGCGTATCGGATGTTTGTGTTAATAAATACTTATTATAACTTATCTATTTTTATTAGGAATTATATATTTTATAACATTTATTTTAATAACTACCAACATTTATTCACAACGTAAAATAAAACAACAAATTATTGAGTCTACCCCACGTCTACCCTACATCATAGTTTTACATTTTTTAAATAAAATTAGAACGACACTGATTAACCGGAATTTAAGTCGGCCATATTTGAGGCCCATCGCGGTGTACCTAAGATTTTTGATATGCTCCTTCCTTAGTCTTCTTATTCAAAGGGTATAGCTTATCCTTAACCTTGAAATATCAATGTTTTCATTGACCAGTATTGTACTTTTTAGCATTGAATAGTACGACCATAAACTGGACGGCTGCATTTTCTTTGATTTTTCAGAAAAATATGCTAAAAGTATGTTTTCACTTGATCTTTTTCTCGCAGGTTTTTTAATTGCTTCCATTTTTAAAAAAAATTTATTCCTTCTCATAAGTTATTCGAGATTTAAATGGAAGTAGTTTAGATATGGCGTTTGTCGCCTCGGCCTGAATATCTCTCTTGGTAATTTACTTATTTCGTTTTGAACCATTTCTGGCTCCAATTCAATCAGCAATCGACATGAAAGAGAATTAAAAAATATTGACTCAAAACCATAGACAAACAAATAAAAAGAGACTGACAAATCTCATGGTAAAGAGTGGGACCGCGTTCCCGTAGCGCAACTCAGGATAACAGTTTTGAAACCAATTAGCAGGACCATGGCAGGACGTACGTCTTTATTGCTATCTTTCTTTATTATGTATGTGCTTTATATGAAAAAGAAAGAGATAGGTATAAAAAGTATCGTAAGACATTATCGCACATTCTGGCTGGCGGAAAATTTAAATTAGCCATTATTAGTAGTATTCTTTCATTCTGAAACTGAAAATTTTCACTTAAACTGATTTATTCCCTATACCACGTAAAGGGAACGTGGTGTAGGGAATAAATCAGACTGTAAATAAAATTTCAGAGTTTCTTCATAGTAGGCTGAAAGAATACTACTATTATAGTAGGAAATTATAAAAAAAAGCAAAAATTGTACTCTTTTATTAACATATTTATTTATACATAAAAATAAATAAACTTTTGATAATATAATAACAAAAAATAACAGTGTTTATTCCACCCACCTACCAATTTTAAATGCAGAAGAACTGACTGTTGCAGGAAACGATCGGCCATTTTTTTTAAAGGGCATTAAAAATCTCATTTTCTAAAGAACTGCCTAATTGCAATAACAAAGTGAATATCCAAGCAAAGAAGACTTTACGAGAATCATGATCCTGAACCATTTTCAAATTCAGTTTTAATCCTAAAACAAAAGCAAAATAGGTGTATTAATAAGGTTTCTGGTTACTATAAACCAGCTATAAACTACCTACCCAAAAAATGAAAAGAATTTATTGTATTAATTTGTTATGTTAAGAGAGGCTCGAAATATTTTTGACACTACTACTTCTACTTTTTTCTTAATAAGATGATAAATATAACTACTTACTTTTATTTTACCGGGTGACTTTAACATATCTATCAGAGAAAGGGGGCACCAATACATATAAAAAATAGATGATACTGGTTCCTGCAACAAATAAAATAACAAATAGTAGGCGAGTATAACCTAAAATTATAAGTAACAAAATATAAATACCTATATGGAGCAAAGGAATTTGTTCCCTATCCATATTCATAAGTCAATAAAATGAAGAGTTTAGAAAAAAAGGTAAATCACCAAAAGAAAAATTAACAAACATGACGAATTGTCATGATGTTGTCAACTTGATTGTCATGATGACGAAAACGAAAGGCGATTGTTCTAATTTCTATTTAGAAATTACGTTTTATATGGCTGCTTCTTTCTCTCTTGTTATATTAGAATGAGATAGTGGGCCCAATAGACGTAATGCGCAGATCAACATAAATAGAATGAAATTTTGCGTTCTGAGTTGCGCTACGGGAACGTTGTCCCTCTCTTTGCCATTTAATTTGCCAGTCTCTTTTTATTTGTTTGTCTATGCTCAAAACTGACAACTAAAGAGACAGCTTTATTTATTTGTCAAATTACATAGAAACCAACGCCACGCCAGCCCAGAACAATATTTTTTCTACTCGTAATAAATTCCTTGAAATAATAATTTCTAAATATTTTTTAAAACGTAACTCGCTATGAAAAAAAATCGTTTTATACACGACAAAAAAATTGCATTATTGTCTACCGAAATTAATCTTTTCGGTCTTGTATAAAAAATAACTATTCTTGTTTCTTAAAAGGTGTCTTCCCCTATTCATAAATATACGTAAAAATTAAGTTTTCATTAAAAATACGATGAGCGTAATAATCCTGCAACCGGATCTTACATTATACAATATTAGTGTAACAAAAAAAGAAAATCCTGACATTGTCTCTATGATTAATTATTTGTTTCTGACCGCTTTTCATCCGCTTTTCTCCACTCTTCTTTTGCAGGAGGAAACAACAGAAAACGTGACAATTAGCGAATTAAGCTTCGTACCGACGACGGAAGACGACGGGAAATCCATAACCTGCCGGGCGGAAAACCCCAACGTCACCGGTCTGTTCCTGGAAACTTCCTGGAAAATTGATGTTGTTTGTAAGTACCGCTGTAGTTGGCACACCGAGGCTGACGCTTTTCGCATTTTCTTTACATTTTAAAGTATTGTAGTTATTTATTTATTTATTGTAACACCTACAATAATTCTGGTTGTACAAATGAATTTTAAAGCAGTAGGTTTGCAAGGTAAAGCAATAATACATAAAAAAATATATATCCTTCAAATCTTTCAATTTAATAGCTGTTAGATGGATACAAGCCAATATCTTGATTGTTTGTTAAACGATCTTTTTCATTTTTGGCAGGAAGCTGTATGGCTATAAGACGTACATTTTGCCCAGGGTAAGAAATGCGATACCCCATAGACGTACGTTTTAGTGGGGTTTGATATTTTTCGAGTCAAGAGTAAAGTCTTCAACCAAACTTAAATCATCCATCTTCAACCAAACTTAAATCGATTATTAATTGATAATTGGTTATAATTGATTATTGATAATAAACTAGTTGTTTATCCAGTGGCGTCGTAAGTACTTAAATATAATAATAAAAATAAAAATTACTTATTTTAATAACACACCCTGTATCAATATTTATCAAAATTAGAACTTAAGTATCTTGGGTAAAGAGGATTCAATATAATTTATCAGGTTTGAAATAAATACTGTCCTAAGGGTAGTTTACTCTTGATTCGAAAAATATCAAACCCCATTAAAACGTACGTCTATGAAGCATCGCATTTCTTACCCTGGGCAAAATGTACGTCTTATAGCCATACCCAAGTAGCATTTGGACGCTATCTAACGTCGGGTATACGTCGCGTTCAATAAACCCGACGTTGGGTACCAACGTCGGTTCGACCGCCTGACGACCCTTATTTGCACCTAAATGGGGAATACAGATTCGGGTCGCCTCGACGTCGGTATCCGACCTAATAGGGAATGTAATTCTACCAATTACCAACGTCATATTACGTTGGATTTTAGTTACTTAAAATTCGTCGCTAAGCACTTACGTTACGTCTGGTTTCATATTCGCTACCAAGAATACATAAAAACCTAACCAAACTACCTAATTACAAATGGATTCATAATCACTCCTCAAATAGAACTATAAGTGCCTATCTAATTTCATATTATAATAATTTTGAATCATTAATCCAGACATCAGTTTTGTCAACGGAAGTCACTTTTTTGATATACCTGATTAAAATACTCCGGAAAACAACGAGCGCCTTCAAAAGTAGGTAGATTTATGAAATAAAAATATCTATAAAAAAGTAACTCGCAAAATATTTTTTTTTTATTTTCTAGCTGGTTTAATCATAAAACTGTACTGTGGTTCCCCCCAAACTCAACCTTATCAATATTATTCTACTAGAAATCGGAATGTGAATATAAATTTTAAAAACAAGAAACGATTTTAAAATGGCTGACAATCGGATACTTGTTAAGAATGGCGGATTTCTGTGTGCGACTTAATATGAACTACCAATATACCAATTCCGACCGGGTCTCCAACATTAGTCGTCTCACACGACCGAAGTCATCAAACCGGACGACCGGCAATCGTATTATGACGTATATAATTCCAGCGTACGCCACGTAACCTCACTTTGCGTATCAGTGATTTGTGGATTTGTGCAACTATATCTTAGTTTTTGTTTTCTCTTTAAAACAATGGGCAACCACTTTTTTAAGATAGTATATACAAAATTTAAAAGAATTGGAACCAGTACCTCACATATGGGGGGAGGATGGGGTCTGCTGGTTTCCTAAGCTAAAAAATGAAATTAAGATGCACCAGTGTAATGCAGCATCTCTTCCGGATAAAAAGCATTTGTGGGCGGAGGGAAGACATCACTACTACTATTATTATTTTGCAAAAGCCTCGACCTCTTTCTGTAAAATGTAGATGAATGTCTAAATGCCTTTTTAGTGTTTTTTTAGGCATAATAAAAAACAATAAGTTTGTGTACAAAAACTTTTTATTAGGTTATGTTCATGATGTGTATTAGACCGCAAATGCTACTTAATGGGTTGTATTTACGGACGCAAATAGAGATACGTAAATTAGGTTAAAAATATGAACATAAAATACAACAAAATATAATTGGACGTTACTTTAGGGATTATCAGTGAGACGTATCCTATTCGCACAACGGGTAGACGTCGGGCTAGTTTAAGTATAGGTACGTCGTGCAAGCCAACGTTGGAACGACGTTGGGAAATTAATAAAAATGGTACGTTGTTATTTTGTACGACGACAGATTGTTGGATTTACCGACTCGGATCCAACGACGTCACTTTTAATAGGAAAGCGACGTCACCAGTCGTATCACCAGCACCCGACCTAAATTTGCACAAAGTCTGACGTCGCTTCAGGTCAGATTTAGTTCGAAGTCAGATAGATGCTACTTGGGTACAGCCTCCTGCCAAAAATAAAAAAGATCGCTCAACAGACAATCAAGATATTGGCTTGTATCCATTTTAACTGGGACACCCTGTATAAATTTTTCTAAAATTAATCATCATATTTTCCCTATTTAGGAGCCAAATGAAAAATTTCATATTTAAACTAACATCTAAATAAAAACTACGCACACGTACCATACACAAACGGGCAGCTCGCGAAAAAAATCTAATTACTTCAAAAAATGGAGTTTAATCTACGAATATGGCGGCCGTAAAAATGAACCGGCAACGGAACTCGTAAATTAGAGAAACGCATTAATATCGGATGCAGGCGGAAAGCGCAAGTCGCGATAATTAAAAAAGTGTTTTCGCCAAACAATTTATTCTAACTAATTAAAAGCAGTTTTGTTTGGCGCCAGTAATGGCCGGCAGAAATAAGAAAGAAAGAAATGCGGAGAGGAAAAAGAGGCAGAGCAGAAAGGCCGGGCCTTTTGAAAAATTGCCCATCTGGGGAATCCAGTTGTGTATATTCTTTCCGTTTTCTCGAACATTACGGCCGCGTCTCGGGCAATTTCGCTTTAAATATGATTTGTTAACTTATTACGCTCTCCTCGTAATTCTTCTGGATACGAATCGCCGTTTATTTCATTTACTGTAATTTACTGACGCAAAAGTAAAAACTTTCAATGTGAAATACTGTAGATATTAAAATTTAGAAAGGTTTATAATATTTCTGGATATCTATAATCAATAATGCTTTTGATAGTATCTTGCTATTTATAGGCCAGTAAGCGAACATAAAAATAGGGTCCCAAGTAGCATCTATTTAACTTCGAACTAAATCTGACCTGAAGCGACGTCAGACTTTGTGCAAATTTAGGTCGAGTGCTGGTGATACGACCGGTGACGTCGCTTTCCTATTAAAAGCGACGTCGTTGGATCCGAGTCGGTAAATCCAACGATATGTCAACGTACAAAATAACAACGTACCATTTTTATTAATTTCCCAACGTCGTCCCCACGTTGGCTTGCACGACGTACATATACTTGAACTAGCCCGACGTCTACCCGTTGTCCGAATAGGATACGTCTCACTGATAATCCCTAAAGTAACGTCCAATTATATTTTGTTGTATATGTTCATATTTATAACCTAATTTACGTATCTCTATTTACGTCCGTAAATACAACCCATTAAGTAGCAATTGCGGCCTAATGAACACCATGAACATAACCTAATAAAAAGTTTTTGTAAACAAACTTAATTTTTTTTATTATACCTAAAAAAACACTATAAAGGCATTTAGACATTCATCTACATTTTACAGAAAGAGGTCAAGGCTTTTGCAAAATAATAATAGTAGTAGTGATGTCTTGCCTCCATCCACGAATGCTTTTTATCCGGAAAAGATGCTGCATTTTTACACTGGTGCATCTTAATTTCATTTTTCAGCTTAGGAAACCAGCAGACCCCATCCTCCTCCCACATGTGAGGTACTGGTTCCAATTCTTTTAAATTTTGTATATATATACTCTCTTAAAAAAGTGGCTGCTCATTTTTTTAAGGAGAAAACAAAAACTAAAATATAGTTGCACAAATCCACAAATAACTGATACGCAAAGTGAGGTTACGTGGCGTACGTTGGAATTATATACGTCATAATACGATTGCCGGTCGTCCGGTTTGATGACTTCGGTCGTGTGAGACGACTAATGTTGGAGACCCGGTCGGAATTGGTATATTGGTAGTTCATATTAAGCCGCACACAGAAATCCGCCATTCTTAACAAGTATCCGATTGTCAGCCATTTCAAAATCGTTTTTTGTTTTTAAAATTTATATTCACATTCCGATTTCTAGTAGAATAATATTGATAAGGTTGAGTTTGGGGGAAACACAGTACAGTTTTATGATTAAACCAGCTAGAAAATAAAAAAAATATTTTGCGAGTTACTGTTTTATAGATATTTTTATTTCATAAATCTACCTAATTTTGAAGGCGCTCGTTGTTTTCTGGAGTATTTTAATCAGATATATCAAAAAAGTGACTTCCGTTGACAAAAGTGATGTCTGGATTAATGATTCAGAATTATTATAATATGAAATTAGGTAGGCATTCGAGGAGTGATTATGAATCCATTTGTAATTAGGTAGTTTGGTTAGGTTTTTATGTATTCTTGGTAGCGAATATGAAACCAAAGGTAACGTAAGTGCTTAGCGACGAATTTTCAGTGACTAAAATCCAACGTAATATGACGTTGATAATTGGTAGAATTACATTCCCTATTAGGTCAGATACCGACGTCGAGGCGACCCCAATCTATATTCCCCATTTAGGTGCAAATAATGTTGTTGGTGTTGTCAGGCGGTCGAACCGACGTTGGTACCCGACGTCGGGTTTATTGAACGCGACGTATATTCGACGTTAGATAACGTCCAAATGCTACTTGGGGTATTACCTCCGAATTCTTGACACCCGCACCGATTGACGTGAAATTTTAACAGTGAATAGAGATATATGCAAGAAACAAAAGTTACATAGTAGCGATGTGTGCTTTAACCCTGGGGGTGAGTACCACCTCTTCTCGGGGGTGAAAAATAGATCACCCATTTTAGTTACAAAAATCAATAAAGAGATGAATTCTAAGCAAAAAATGTTCTATAACATTTATTCAGAAAATTAATATTTTCCGAGTTATTTAGGATTGAAAATCTTGGTTTTTCATCTGAAAACTGCATATATTTTTCTGCAATTTTTTATAAAGAACTCGAAAATCTTGCGTTTTATCGCAAAACTCACAAAAAGAAAAAATGAAGCTTTTGGAATAACGAATCGATTCATTTTTTGTTGTTTAACATAGGTGCAGTAATAGCCGAGTTATCACTCTGTAAACTTGATTCTTTATTTTTCGAAGAAAATGAATATGACCGTTTTTAAAGTGCTTGAAAAGTCCTTTTAAATGTCTTTTTTTACAGGTCTTTTCAAGTTCGTAGTTCAAAAACTCGCGGAGTTATGATAAAAATAAAATGATCACATTTTTTCGGAAAAAAATTAACAAAACCTATGACTAAAATCATAAAAATAAAAACTATCAATTTGTAGGAAATTACACGAGCTACAAATTAACCTCTATAGTTGAACAGTCTTGTAAAATGTTGCAATTTAGTTTTCGAAAAATAAAAAATCACGTTTACATAATGATTACTCGGCTATTATTACACCTACGATAATCATCAAAAAATGGATCGTTTAATTATTCCAAAAGCTTCATTTTGGCTTTATATGAGTTTTGCGATAAAACGCAAGGTTTTCGAGTTATTTAAAAAACTGGCAAAAAATATGCAGTTTTTTGATGAAATAAAAAATACAAAATACTGATAAAACTGCTTTTCATTAACACTTGATTAACACTAAAAATGTCGTAAAAATGTTAACCAAAATTTTAAAATTAGTTATATTAATGTACAAAAATACATTGTTTGCTTTGACCTGATAAAATTGCAACAATTTTTTGGAGTCAGATTATTAATTAACTGCAATTTTCTGCCTTACTGTAATACTACTAATTAAAATTAAACTTTAATTAAACATAGAAGGCGTATCGTAACAGTTTTTTATTTAACGTTATATTTTACTAATTAAAAATTGAAAGGGAAGCCCAGCGACAACTCGCTTAGGCATTCCTTTAAAAAGATTAATTACTGTGAACTCGATAAAAAGTTTTGCGTCAGATATGACTTTTCAACAGGCACAAAAAACCGACAAGGAAGAATTTTGAACGAAGTCGCAAAGATAGTTATCTTAATAAAATATCCGTAGAAAAAAAAGCAATCTGTTGAACGCCTCCTTGCATATTAGATGGTTCTTTTAAATATAGGACATTTTCTTTCTTTAATATTTAAATATTTATATTAAGGCGGTTCAAAAAAATCGACAATTTGTTTTTTCAATTTATACTCCAATTTCAATTCATACTCCTTTCATTTATACTGAAAAAAAAGGTTGGTAAATACCTCAAGAAAATGATATCAAGTATGCGCTCGTAATTTTAATAGGAAGGTCCTTCGCCTTCAGTTTTCTATTTTTTCCTTATTGTTAGAAAGAAAAATGCTTATCCCGGTATCTACAATTTGGAAAAAATAGCTCGTCTCAAATGTTTGTAGGAAATTGAATTCTCTACAAAAAAGGTCTCTTAATAGTTATAACTTATAATCTCTTAATAATCTTCTCTTTTTTTTTTGTAAACCGCATCGTTCGAAAGTTATTAAAGGTTGAAGTTTTGTGTGATTTTTTTAAGGCAGATTTCTTTTTTCTAATGAATTTTGTAACTCGTTAACAAAAATCATTATGATACGTGCAAGTTATGGTTTTGTAGGAAACTCACTGGCTCTACAAAAATGGTTTCTTATGATTAGTCGATTAAATTAACCGTTTAAATGATGTTCATCGTCAAACTTCAATACACAATAATTTAAACAGTCTTTGATTAATAATTCGAACAGTTCCAATTTATTTTATGAGTTTCGGGAAAACTTGTACAAATTTGAGTTTTTATGAACAAAGAAATGTTTTAATCTTTGTAGGAAATTGAATTCTCTACAAAAAAAGTCTCTTACAATTTTTTGTAAACCTCGCCGTTCGAAAGTTATTAAAAGCTGAAATTTGATTAGGTATTTTAAGGCAGATTTCTTTTTTCTTATGAATTTTATAACTCGTTAACAAAATCTTATCATGATACGCGATATTATGATATGCTCTACAAAAATGGTTTCTTATACTCATCCTGTATATTTTTATAATAATACAATTTTATTTGCCTAAGTATGTCTATATAACTTTCTTTTATTTGTCTTTAGATCCACCAATAGTCGACCTCAGTCTCGGTACGACTTTGAATCCGGACGACATCAAGGAAGGCGATGACGTGTACTTTGAATGCAAAGTAAGAGCCAATCCACACTGGAGACGCTTGACTTGGCTTCATAACGTAAGTAACTGTAATACAGAAATTTAAATATATTTATCTACGCCAGTGAGTTAAGAAGCTCTTAACGCACGCATTTTGAGTGAGTTAAGAGCATCTTAACTTACACTCCTTGTTTAGATGAGTACCAAAAAGAAAAAAATATTTTGTAAAACATTTATGTTGCACTAAATTGGAAAAATATGTTAATAAATAAATAAATAAATAAATGCCTTTATTGTCAAAAAATTTTTCAATTTGTAGACAAAGGTAAACTAACAAACAAAGTAGAAAAAAAAACAAGGTACACAAACAAACAAACAAAAGATAATACAAAACAGTATATAAATAATATTGTCAGTCTTATTGTTAAAATAAACATTTATAAATGTTTACAATGTCAAAGAACAAAAAATTTAAAATAATATTCAAAAATATTGAGCCAGTTTATAGCAAAATATCAATGACCTCTAAATAAATTAATTTCGATGTCATTAGTAAATATAGCAATAGCAAACATTAGACCAGTGTTTTCAAGATCAAATTCGATTTTCAATTCAAATATAATTCATTTACGGCGTAGAAAGCCTTGTCTAGTAAATAAGAGTTTAATGCTTTGCGAAATGAAACAAATTATGTTATGGATTTGATTTCAAATGGCAGGTGATTGTGCATTTTTTTCGAGTTCTATAATATTGAACTTTTAACTAACTCTGAGCGTGGGGTAGGTAGAAAAGATCTTGCTCCGCGTTCCTGAGTGGATAAGTGTGAGATGGCCTTTCTTGAGAAGCTGATACATGTTTACGTATTAGGCAAACGGAGTTATGAGTACCTTTACATTTCCATAGTTGTGTACTTTTTTTTCGGTGCACCATTTTTTAAACTTAGAGTATGTATATTCTTACTATTCGATACTTCTGTTTTGATCTTGCTGGAAGCAATCCAGAAATGGCTCTGAATGCCTCTTCTTCAATGTCAGAGGGAATACTTTCCGAATCGCTCATTTTTTAAACTAGTAACATCAATATTATTTACTGTCATATTGACATTGTCATGCATGGTGTTATTTGAACAAAGGTATTAAGATAATTGATTTTTAGGATAGGTATATATTTAAGTACAATAATTTTTAAAATGCATTGTGTGTTTTTATAGTTAGACGATTGTACAATACACGCGGGTTAACTCCATTAAGGTACTTGTTTGTAAAAAAGTAAGTAAGTAAAAAATAATTTTACAAATTTTACGTTCCGTACAATACCGGCAAGTAAAACGAAAATAAAACTGAACAATTACTACGTGTGCATCATAATCGTTAAAATTATGAAAAGTAAGTTAATTACAAACCAAACCAAAAACACTGTAATTATACCAAATAATTCATATGATATAAAAGATGTCTATACGTCTGTGGCGGATTTATCTTTTCAAAAAAAGTCCAATGGGTATTTCGCCACTGTAAGAAAATCTAGAAAATAAAATAGTTTTTTTTTTGTAAACGCAGCTGCGTTAATCCAACGGTGACTAATTATCAGCTGTGGTTTACTAATAAGTCGGAAGCAAAAAAACACGAATATCAAAGAATAAACCTATTTAAAATATCTAAATAACTTTTAAATAAGGTACCTAATAATAACTGGGCATTGATCTCAGTCAGAATATTGTGATAGATTTAATAAAATACCAGCTGAAATATTAAAATATATACAGAATATCCCAGGAACAAATTATTCCCTGAAGATTAGTTTATTGTTATATCACACCATTGTTGAATATTTATATATCTATTATTATTTATTTAAAACTAGTTGAACAGGCTAAATTAGTTAACAGTGAAGTCAGAGGTTCTTTTGTTAATCTTATAGTACGGATGATTGATTGCCCGAATGATCTGGAATGATTGAAACCAAGATTTGGCAATTTTTGTCATTTGTTGCTCTATATTTTTGTTTGTGTTGAATTCAATTATTATCTATATGTTTCAATATTTTTATAGATTTAAATATGCTATTTTCTCACTATTTTCTGTTGAATTACTATTCTATAATGTCCAGTATGTTACTGATTGATCAATAATTAGAAATAAGCTATAATATTGCATAACGAGAGCTGTCAATTGAGGAAGATGGCGGAATTCCAAACTTATTTACTTGAAAAAAAAATGTTAGTATGTTTTTTTTCGTGAATGTTTCAGACATTTTAATAGATATTCTGGCGTTCTGGGAGGAGACCAATCCAACGACTCAGAGGTTTATAAAATCACTCCAGCCATTCTTGAGTTTTAAAATTCAGCAACGTATTATTAGAAAAACACAACTTTTAATAGGGATATTTCAAGAAGCCTTCTACCATCTACTAAACATTCTCGTAGCCATTCAGTATTTTAATATACTTTATAATGTAAAAGCCTTTTCCGACAAAGTTATCTTATATTCTAAACTCACTCAGATCGTCTTTCTCCTTCTTCTACGACAATGTAAATAAATTACGTACCTACTACGACAAAGACTGTCTCTCCCTACGTCTTGCTTAAATTACATTATAACATTTCTCATATTTGACCTGATTCCCGTTCAAACTTCCCCCGTCTCTCCAAAATGGACGGGTAGCGCACAAAGTTCATCTTCTTAACTTTCGCGAACTATTCTTCCTTATAATATATTTAAAATTTTAGATCAGTTTTACGGAGGGTGCTTTTCGGAAACTTTTTAAATACGTTACTGGAAAGTATCATGTTTTCCGATAGAATAGTTTTATAAAGATTTAAGTAAATGAAATGGCAACGTAAATGGACAAAACTGATTTTAAGTTATGAAAGAATATAATTTAAAAAAGAAACAGTATTTTTCTCGATAATTTAATTTTTTTTAACAAACTAGATTATATTCCGGTAATATACTGTATGATCGAATGAAAGCGACAGTAAATTATAGAGACAACGAAATGATTATATCCGAAATCAAATATGAGGGGAAGAGGGAATATACAGGGCGGCCCCTCCCATACGACGGGGAGACTCCAAGAAAAACGGGAGTTTGTATTGAAATGAAATTTCGCTAGTATGTTTATGTAGGTTGATTTAGAGCATTTTTCAAAGATATAGAGAGATCTACAGGGTGTCCCCCAAAAAAGTGACATAGTATCAAAGTTGTGTTTTTTTGTAATCGAATACTCTATATGTTAATTGATTTTCGGATTCTAGGAGAAAAATAAAGGCCAGTTTTATTAAAGTTTATATGGCTTAAAGTGTAAGGTTTTTGACATATATAACAATTTCTAAATATGAAAAACAAATTTATAATTTCAATAAAAGTTACCTAAATTGGAATTTACCCGGTATAGCTTATTATGTAGTTATAATAATTATTGTGCTTTAAATCAAATTAAAATTTGACCTGAAAAGTTATACATGTTGAGACAAAATTAATGCTGAACATTCGTCACATTCAAAAGCCAGTTACTCTTAGTTTAAATGGAACACCCAGTATATTATTCCGATATTCAATGGGGAATTCATGTCTCTTCGAAATACACTTGGTTGCCTACCCCTCAAGAAAAGATTTTCCTAGATATTTTCATTTTTATGATTTAGTGGCAGTAGATCTTGATTATTTGGTAAAATCTAGGTGGATGATCTATGATATAGAGAGAATTGATATGATTCTATTAGTGGGGTATAGCAGTGTGCATTCACCAACTAATAAAATACTTAAATGCTCCCGATTTTTCTAGTCTGGACTTTTTTTTATCGAGATATGGTTAAAGACAGTGTTTTCAACACGAAAAATATAATTGTGGGTGCTTTTCGAAGTGGAACTTTACATAGAGAACTAACATGGAAAGATCTTTTGAAAAGAGAATTATTTTATGCAGTTAACATTAATGGAAGCATTTTGAGGATTTGGCTACATATTTTTGTCACATAATTATACGTTTATATATAGTTTTAATTCTGTAATAGTAGTGGAGCAGAGAACATTGAAGCTTTTTTATATATTTATTGTTTTTACAATGTTCACAATCATTTAATAAATTGTTATTCATTTATTTAGAATTTGTACCATTATTTTACACGTCAAAAAATAAACATTAACGTTAGAGAACTCATTCCCCTCCGGTGTCCCCTATATGTTTTTAATATGCGCAATAGCCACGTCTCGTTTTATTTCGTACATTAAAGAAAATTCCACTTCTCCAACTCCCAGTGGATGACATACCAAGAATTTACAACTTTGAGAAACACCTCACTGTAGTATTGAGTAATAAAAAGGATTGGAAGAAAGAAACGCTTACTCAGCATATAAAAGACCATACCATCACGTGGTATACTGATGCTTCCAAAACCAAAGCAGGGACAATGATAGGAGTATTTGGGCCGAAAACTGAATACTCCGAACCAATTGGCATCTACCCCAGTATCCTTCAGGCAGAAATTTGCGCTATCGAAAGATGCGTACAATTTATCTTAGATAGGAACTATCGAAAACAGGAAATTGCCATCCTATCCGATAGTCAAGCAGCACTTAACGCGATCAACTCAGTAACCATCAATTCGAAGTTGGTCAACGAATGCCTAGAGAAGCTCAACAAATTAGGCAAAAAAAATAAAGTCCTCCTACTCTGGGTGCCTGCTCACCAAGGGATGAAGGCAATGAAAAGCAAAATGATCTAGCTAGAAAGGAGCGAACACTCCACTAACTGGACCAGAACCGTTCTGTTCTCCAAACGGGGAACCAACTGAAAGCGGAACTGAAGAATCTGGAAGACTCCATCCGTAACTTGAGATGGGTGTCCTCCAACGGTCTAAGACACTCGAAAAAGTTCCTTAGAACTTATGACCGAGAAAAATCAAAGGTTTTCCTTGATTTAAGTAAAAACAATCTTCGGATTGTCACGGGGTTTCTAACAGGACACTGTCTCATCAACGAATACCTCAGTAAACTGAAACTGAGAAACAACGGCGAATGCAGATTTTGTGGGGAAAATGGGGAAACACCAGAACACCTTATCACTGAGTGCGCCGA